ATGTTTATTATAGTTGTTATATGGCATAATGGTGACATGTGTAATAAAAGAATTACAAATGTGAAACTTTTTTTTTCATGATTTCTAAACCTCTAAAATGGCACATTAGCGAAGAATGACCCTTCAATGAAATTTGATCATATTCTGTATTAAATTATTATATACTACCTTGAGAAAATCATCATAGTTAATACTGATTGCAAATCCAGATGTTCACATACTGTAATCAATATAGTTCGTCCTAGGCGCGCCATTCCGCAGGCCTACTATCGATTAGGCATCGTGTCACCTCGGCCCAAGAGCGTGCCGCCCGTAGCAAACAGGCTGTGCTGCCACCAAGGGTTTGGTTCTCGGGGAAACGCGAAACAGGATAGCGAAAGCTCACTATTTCTTTTTGTTTTTTTTTTTATATTTGTAACGAGAACGGGTATTTTTTTTCTCCGCAGATTGGTTCTCGAACGAGATAGCGAAAGCTCTTATCTCTACTATAAGCGATAAGGCTAGGTGGTAGTCACGGACCACACCTAGTGTAATATTTAGTGGTCGGTTGGCCGGAAGTGATTTTCAGTGAGATATAAACAGAGTTCTTTTGTACCAATATACTGCAAAGCTTTTATTATAATAATCACAATAATAATGATAATAATAATAAGAATAATAAAATAATCATAATTATAATTCGATTATTTTATCGATGGTAGTCATTGTATTTTACTTGTAAATTGTTATATTTTCTATAGTGACTATTTTGTATGTTTTTTCATATTTGTTTTACATTTTATAATATAATATGTGATGACGAGCAGAAGAATTTCCCTTGTGGAACAATAAAGTTATCTTATCTTATCTTATCTTATCTTATCTTATTCATCACTTATCTTACCATATTCATTAACTATCCTACTGTACATATATACAATCGACTACTAACTCCAGGTCACTGAGATGTTGGAGTTCAACCTATTCCGAGTGGAGTCAGTTCGTAATCTCTTCCGGTTGGCCGGAAGTGATTTTCAGTGAGATATAAACACAGTTCTTTTGTACCAATATACTGCAAAGATTTTATTATAATAATCACAATAATAATGATAATAATAATAAGAATAATAAAATAATCATAATTATAATTCGATTATTTTATCGATGGCTAGTCATTGTATTTTACTTGTAAATTGTTATATTTTCTATAGTGACTGTTTTGTATGTTTTTTCATATTTGTTTTACATTTTATAATATAATATGTGATGACGAGCAGGACAATAGTTATCTTATCTTATCTTATCTTATCTTATCTCATCTTATTCATCACTTATCTTATCTTATCTTATTCATCACTTATCTTATCTTATTCATTAACTATCCTACTGTACATATATACAATCGACTACTAACTCCAGGACACTCAGATGTTAGAGTTCAACCTATTCCGAGTGGAGTCAGTTCGTAATCTCTTCTCTCATAAATTCATAGTGTGAGAAAGGTGAAGTCCAATTGACTAGGGTAAAGTTATAGAATGACCAATTGTATGTTTAGATTATCTGCATACTAAGGTTGACCATTAAAACTGTCAAACTAATTTAAGACATTTAACAGGTGAAGGGTTATTGATGATATACAAATTGCAATGGTTATATAAGTTAATATTATTGAACATTACATTACACTATCACTGCGAGTTATGGGTTATTCTCATACCAAATAATTACCTACCTTTACATATAAAATAAAAATCATAGTGATTAAATTGAAATAGAATGACGCCAATGACGCTTAAAACTTTCAATCATAGATTCATAGTGTGCGCAAGGTCAAGTCCAATTGACTAGGTAGGGTAAAGTTATAGAATGACCAATTGTATTATTAGATTATTTGTATACTCAGGTTGACAATTAAAAACTGTCAAACTAATTTAAGACATTTAACAGGTGAAAGGATATCGATGATATACAAATTCCAATGGTTATATAAGTTAATATTATTGAACCTTAATACTACATTACACTATTACTGCGAGTTATGGGTTATTCTCATACAAAATTTTACCTACCTTTACATATTAAATAAAAATTCTAATGATTAAACTGAAATACAATGACGTCAAAAATTATAATGAAACTAGTAACGATTTGAAATAAATGCACTGAACAAAGCTAATTGTACGTTAACATTTGCTAATTATACGTTAAAATAAATGTGGGTGTGACTCCCACAAAAGATAGAGAGAAACAAAGAAATTTCAATAAAATGAATTAGCTGTACTAGTCTAAAGATAGTAAATACAACCTGTAGACTTGTAAGACTGATAAAATTAGTTTTAGTTGACACTACACTAGCTTTCGAACACACAGTACACTTTCATCTCTATGTGATAATTGATAATTTCATAAACTATGTGATAATTCTTAACCCTATCACAATACAGTACTATTATTTATGTATAATAACACTTGTATCAGAAAGTGTAATACTGTACATAATCCAAGTACTGAAATGCACGCCATTGTCCTGAGATTGAATATTTCGACATTAATTATGTCATCATCTGGATAAAAATTTATCTATATTTACAAGCTTATATGCACAAATACAAAAAGTGTTTAACCAATCAAAACGTTACCCCTAGTAGTTAGGTAGTATAACATTGATTTAAACTAAAGATCAAAGCACTCTTACTATACTGGTCAAAACCTTCCTACAAAAACATAAAAAGCTCCTTTAAAGCTCTGAGCCCGTGGTTAAACAAAGGGTGTAGTCTCGTATAGCAAACGCTTCTTTAAACAATAGGATAGATCAGTTTTTGGGAATTGCCAATAATGTTAGTATTAGAAAACTTGAATGATGGTAGTACATCAAAAAATCAATAATAGTACTAGAACGCTTGTATCATTCACATTACATGGGTTTTTCTATCAGTTCTGGTATATTATTGTTAAAGTTGTAAATTTTAGGAAAATACTTTAACAAAATACGACGTAACTCACTAGTTGTCATCACTAACTCTTTCATCAACTCTTTCTGATCGTTCTCGTAGATAAATTCTTTATTCTTAAGTGCAAAGAGTCGGTCATTTTTGAAAATAACAATTCGTACCTCTAGCAGGAATGGAAAGCTAGAGTAATTCGGGTTGACATAGAGTTGTTCCATATTCACAGCAAAGTCTTCTATATCGACTGAAGTCAGACATACCTCGTAAAACAAGTACCACTTGTTTTGTCCTGTGTTCAATTCAGAAAGTTTGTTACGCTTGTGGAATACTTCTATTGTTGTATCGTCTTTCCTTATTAGTTGATACTGCAGAAATCCTTGTGTGTAAACGGGCGAGACAGTTTTAAAATCAATTGGTATTATTTTCCAGGTTGGTAATGACGTGCCTACGTCAACAAGATATATATCTCCAGGTTCGTCAAGTGATCGAATAATCAGCGCTGGATGAATGTTACGTTGACCAAATGCGTTACATCCCACAAACCTAACGTCATAACCTATTGTCACTAGTAATTCTCTGACGAAGTAGTTCAGCGAATAGCAGCTACCACCCTGACATTTAAACATGGCATCTTTAATTTCTTCAAATAAGGGTAAACGACGATTACCTGGACTTACATTTATAGCATGCACGGTTTGGAATGGTTCGATGTGCATAAATGTATGTAATATGTTGCAAACAAGTTGTCTTTTATCCTGTTTGAATTTTTCGAAACAATTTGAAATTCCCAAAATATTAGTTACAAAATCATGACATTCTGGTTTAGACAACATCGTCTCCCAATTTATCAATAGCTTATGAAAATTTCACAGGTTTTCTATGATCGACTATGGTATCTAAAATACAAATAAAGAAACAACGTCAAAAATTAAAAATTTAGTAGTCGAACAGGAAACATAATATAGAATGAATTACAAATATTGTCGTCATTGTATTTATGTCCAAGGTAAGTTAACCTGGCAAATATTAGAGGCATAGACATTGACCAACATTATTGAAAGTTATTGTAAAAAAAAATGAATAGACTACTTATCCTTGGTATTCAAATTATAGGTCGTGACCGACAATAATTGTAATACTCTGACCTTGGTCAGAAAGACAAGGACCAAAGCACTTAGTATATATTTATTGTGTGTTTAGTAGGTAATAGCTCTTGATGGCCGATGAAGCAATAAAGTTGACTCTTAAAAAGTCGATTTTTTACGAGTGAGGCTAAGCTCTGACTGGCCACAATATTGCATACTTTAATAAAATCCTCATTTTTTGTCAGGATATATGTCCTTCAACAATTTCGTCTTTAATCGAAATATTTATATAGAAAACATTAATATAAAAAATTATTTGAAACGAACGGTGGATAGGTAAGTTAGTCATTTCGAAATATAGGTTCGCCATATAAGAAGATTTGAATACCAGGAGACTATTGCTCAGTATTATGAAGCGTATACAAATATTGAATTTGTTGATTAATATGTTAGATTGGATTGGATTGGATTTATTCGGTGTAAACAAGGATAGCTCATAAAAGTCTAGAAGAAGACTTAATTTCTATAGTGGGCTCCTTCTGGTAGTGATTGGGCAGTACACCGGGAGACAATCCCCTACTCTTTTCCGAAGAGTGTACATGTTCTTTAACGTGCCATGGGCCATATAAATGCACACGGTACCAACGTCTCATCCCAAAGATGGTGCACTATTTGTAATTTGTATTTCAGCCCTCCAGCTGAAACACAAGGAGAGGCAGCGAAATATATATAAAAAAAATACATGAACAAACTATTAATAATTATATCTATGCAAATAAACGGTTTTAGAATTACGTAGGCATACAGGATATTGTTACAAAACCATGGTTCCAAACGGATCAAAAATACCGCCTACTGAATTGAAAAATATATACTACCAGACAAAATTGCCAGTTTCCAACACTTTTAGGAAGTTAAGAACGGCCAGATAATGGCGTTATTTGCTAGTAAAGTTTCTGGATTAACAATACTACATGAAACTAGTGAATATATCGGAAAAACCATACGTACGTGTTAGAGATAATCCTACAAATATTTTGCTGTTTGGACCTGTTTCACTCATAGCCTGTGTTCATGTGCAACTCGCCTTTTTCATTGACCGGTAAACCCAGCAAGTCGCCTGCCGCACTACACCCAACCCTAGGTTAGAGATCATATCAAGTTTTTTTCCTTTTGATCAAAAGGTGACGGAGGAATAAATTGACAAATCATTGTGAATTTTTTAACAAAGAAAGGTCAAAATCTGTAGTAAATGTTTTCCCGTTTTAGACAAGTGAATCGGTTGAGTGGTTCTTGTTCTATGAATAATTAACCACGCCGAAGTGGCCTTGATTCTGTCACAACTTAGGTTTTTACACGGCAAATACAACAAACCAAGCAATTTTAAACTTAAAATTGACGGAACTTCAGTGTACTTTAAAAATATGATTTAAAGTACATTAGAAAGAGCTGTATAAATTTAGCTACAATAAACCGTTTTAGACAATTTATCCGATTTTTTGATCAAAAGATATTGCTAAAAAACCACAAAAAGTCATCTATTTTTGGGCTATATTGGTGAAACCGGGAATCTCTGCGCGTTGCTTAAGTTGTGCCTACGAATTGATATGTTTAGCGGGTAGTTAGAAGGTCGCTCACTAATGATGTTGTAAAATCGCCGGTGTCAGCTTGCATTATGGGATGTGATGTGACGTCATATCATATCATGACCTTTGCTTCTCAGTCTGACAATAACAACCGCAATCGCGCGAAAATACAGCATGCTACTGTTTGTGAATTTGGTGTGAATTTTGGTGGCGTCCGCCACCAAAACTCCGATTTCGGAGGATCTGCGTACTATACGCCAAACCTATGAAATCGTAGTTTTCAAACTTTTATTCAAACCTCCGATTTCGGAGTTTCTGCGTACTATTAATTAAACAAGCTCTCTCTACATAGAGAGAGAGCAAAAGTTTTAATCGGAGGTTTTGCGTACTATAAGCAAACCTCCGAAATCGGAGTTTTCAAACTTTTACGGAAACCTCCGATTTTGGAGGTTTTGCGTACTATAGGTATAGGTTCGCGAAACCTCAAAAATCGGAGTTTTCAAACTTTTATTCACACCTTAGATTTCGGAGGTTCTGCGTAGTATACGCTAAACCTCCGAAATCGGACTTTTCAAACTTTTATTCAAACTTCCGATTTCTGAGTTTCTGCGTACTATACGCCAAACCTCCAAAATCGGAGTCTTCACACTTTTATTTAAACCTCCGATTTCGGAGGGTTTGCGTACTATACGCCAAATCTCCAATATTTGAGTTTTCAAACTTTTATTTAAACCTCCGATTTCGGAGTTTGTGCGTACTAATAATTAATTACTCCGAAATGGGAATGTCTGCGCCCGCCGCCAAAACTCCGATGTCGGAGTTTCTGCGTACTATACGCCAAACCTCCAAAATCGGAGTTTTCAAACTTTTATTCAAACCTCCGATTTTGGAGTTTCTGCGTATATGCAAATTCTCAAAAGCTAATTTAGAGTTGATGACAATTTTTTGAAAAAAATAATGTATCGGTGTATCTGCTGTCAGGCATGTTTAGATTGATTGCACAGCTTACTACTCGTTACAGAATTTAAACAAAGATCATAGATGTCAAAGTTTAAAAGTAATGTAATTGCGAGAGGGCGCACTACGTAGCGTTGTTAGAGGATTTGCGTGCAGAAATCGCGGAGTACGCTGTCTTGTAATTATATGATCATTGGAAGCAATAGAAAAGCAGTCTTGGAACGCTGCGATCATTTAGTTATTAATAGAGATTTGGCGAGAAAAACAAAAAAAGACCTCTACTTTCGTTTGAGACGCGAGCTGCAAGGCGTAGTGTTTGGAGATTCGAACATTATTATTCTTATCAGGCTAAAAATAAAAGCTGTTCACGCATAAAACCGGGCCTGCATTCTCTAGTAACAGTCCCTACACTCTGGTTTGCTCAGGACCAATTTAGTGTCCGCTATGTGTCAGCACACGGTAAATGGTACTAAAACATGTTTTCCAAGTGTAACAAACCAACAGCACGTATCCCTTCTTTCAAACTCCCATCTAAATGCGTCATTCCGTTGCCTCTGGATTTCCTTTGTGCATTTTAACTGATTTTTTAACCTTTTTTTTTCTAAACTCACAATATAATATAATAATAATAATAATAATAATAATAGTAGTAGTAGTAATAATTGTCGACTTATATAGCGCATTGTAGACTAACCTCTATGCGCTTTACATTATTACTCCCGTCACTGGATGAAACACATGGAACAACACTTATGCCCAATAATGTTGCAGCTGTAATCAGCTCATGGTTGTGTTTAAACCTATCAGGTACCCCCTTGTACTCCTGGGTGGAGAGAGACAACCGTACAATTGCCCATGGAACACAAATAACTTGCACAGCGAGAGTTTCGAACCCTCGACTTCAAAGGTTGGGAGTCCAAGCTACAACCAATGCGCCAACCACTTTCTCTATAATTCCTATTATTTTATTTTTTAAACAATTTCGGGTTACAAATAAAGTAACTAACTTTGAAATATTAAAACAGCATTCTGAATGAATTGAGGCCTATTTTCTACAATAAAATAATAAATCCATAACTTTTGACTCAATATTAGGAATGTTCTCGCATTACATTAAATTAATCCATTGTCATTCAAAGTTTCATTAAAAAATAATTTTACTTATTTATAGAGGCGTGTCCCTAATGTTTTGTTTTGACATTCATGTTCACTCTTTGCTCACGTTGTTTATTCACGATCACTGCCACCTTGCTTCTTGGCCTACCTCACCTAGCCTATTGTTTCGAACTATTTCTCTACATACTAGCCGGCTTTTCTATCCTCACTCACTCGCTACTAGGCACCTTCTCTCATACAACTGGATTACAGACTCGCACAATTTAGCGGGGCTTTGGTTAGGATAAAATAATAAATTGGAGAATTTGTATAGCGCCTGTTAGAAAAATATTTGTCATTGGCGCTTAAAGATATAAATAAGAATTATTGGTCAAAGAGATGAGTTTTAAAGAGCGTTTAGAATGCATCAGTATTTGAAGTTAATTTAAGTTTGGGTAAAAGAGTTCTATAATTTCGGAGCTGCAAAAGAAAACAAAATTCGACAACAGCCGTTGTGGAATGATGTGAAAATGTAGCTGGTAGAGCTTTCGTTATCTCTTTTGACAACCAATACGCCGAGAAAGCCCATATGTTTGTGTATGACGTCACCAGTTTAGGCCTAGTTTTAGTTTTCTCGTACTCGCAACCCAAGATTCAGAAACTGGATCCAGGGCTATGAATCGACACCAGAAACTGAATGTATTTAGAGCATTTCAATGAAATTTGATCATATTCTGTATTAAATTATTATATACTACCTTCAGAAAATCATGATAGTTAATACTGATTGCAGATCCAGATGTTCACATACTGTAATCAGTGTACTTGGTCTTAGGCTAGGCCCCGCCATTCCGCATGCCTACTATTCGAGTAGGCATTGTGCCACCACGTAGCAACAGGCTGTGCTGCCACCAAGGGAGAACGCGAAACAGGATAGCGAAAGCTCACTATGTTTTTTAACGAGAACGGGCACGGGTGAAAGTAGCGACTGTCAATGAGACATAAACACAGTTCTTTTGTACCAATATACTGCCAATCTTTTATTCAGCATCAACTATTCTGCTGTACATAACAATCGACTACTGACTCCAGGTTACTCAGATGTTAGAGTTCAACCCATTCAGAGTGGAGTCAGTTCTTAATCCCTTCTCTCTGGTGTCTGACCACTGAAATCTCTCGGTCTTAATAAGTGATGTGGCATGTTTGCCTATTATACTCAAGGTAATGGGGGTGTGTCTCAGTTAAGTCACCCCATATTTTTGGAGTTTCTGATTGGATCATAGAGAAATTCCTTTCTACGATTTAGTACAATAACTTGTTTTCCAAAAAACCGCTAATTAAGATATATTACAAACTTCAAGACTTAGGCTTAAAACTTTCAATCATAGATTCATAGTGTGAGAAAGGTTAAGTCCAAATAATTAGGGGAAAAATTATAGAATGGCCAATTGTATGATTAGATTATCTGTATACAGGTTGACCATTAAAACTGTCAACTAATTTAAGACATTTTTAAATGTTTTAAATTAGTTTGTTTTGTTAAAACAGGTTAAGGGGTATCGATAATATACAAATTTCAATGGTTATATAAGTTAACATTATTGAATCTTAATACTATACTACATTACACAATCACTGCGATTTATAGGTTATTCTCATACCAAATTTTACCTACCTTTACATATAAAATGAAAATCATAATGATTAAATTGAAATAGAATGACGCCAATGATGCTTAAAACTTTCAATCATAGATTTATAGTGCGAGAAAGATCAAGTCCAATTGACTAGGGTAAAGTTATAGAATGACCCATTGTACGATTAGATTATCTGTATACTCATGTTGACCATTAAAACTGTCAAACTAATTTAAGACATTTAATAGGTGAAGGGGTATAGATGATATACAAATTCCAATGGTTATATAAGTATTTAACCTTAATACTACATTACACTATCACTGCGAGTTATGGGTTATTCTCATACCAAATATTTACCTACCTTTACATATAAAATAAAAAAAATATAATGATTAAACTGAAATAGAATGACGCAAAAATTATAATGACACTAGTAACGATTTGAAATAAATGCACTGAAAATAGCTAATTATACGTTAAAATTTGCTAATTATACGTTAAAATAAATGTGTGTGTGGGTGTGACACCCACAAAAGAGAAACAAAGAAATTTCAATTAAAATGAATGAGCTGTACTATTCTGATGATAGTAAATGAAACCTGTAAACTTGTAAGACTGATAAAATTAGTTTTATTTGACACTACACTAGCTTTCGAACACTTTCACCTCTATGTGATAATTGATAATTTCATAAACTATGTGATAATTCTTAACCCTATCACAATACTATTGTTTATATGTATAACACTACTCGTATCGGAAAGAATAATACTGTACATACTCCAAGTATTGAAATGCACGCCATTGTCTTGGGATTCAATATTTTGACATTAATTGTGTCATCATCAGGACGAAACATTATCCATATTTACAAGCTTATGCACAAATACCAAAAGTGTTTAACCAATCAAAACATTACCTCTAGTGGTTAGGTGGTATAACAGTGATTTAAACGATATTGAAGGGAGTTAGCCGACTAACTCCCTTCAGTATCATATACAACATACGACAGTATTTCCAGCCGTATTGCCAGATTTATCTGGCCGAACGCCCTCTTTGAGTCGTAGCATTGTGTAATATAATGTTCCCGACGGTTATTTGGACCTGTTCTACCATGAAGCCTTCGTGGTCTAGTGGTTATGACGCTCGCCTTGTTAGCGAGAGGTCGCAGGTTCGAATCCCGTCGGAGGCATTTTATTACACAATGACTTTTATAGGACCTTATTGGTTGAAAAGCTACAGGGTACCCTACGATGATCCATCATGTCCTTATTTAAACACTGTATATGTACCTTTAGTGATTTAAACTAAAGATCAAAGCACTCTTACTATACTGGTCAAAGCATACCTACAAAAACAAAGAAAGCTCCTTTGAAGCTCTGAGCCCGTTGTTAAACAAAGGGTGTAGTCTCGTATAGCAAACGCTTCTTTAAACAATAAGATAGATCAGTTTTGGGAATTGCCAATAATGTTAGTACTAGAAAACTTGAATAATGTTAGTACATCAAAAACATCAATAATAGTACTAGAACGCTTGTATCAGTCACATTACATGGGATTTTCTATCAGTTCTAGTATATTATTGTTAAAGCTGTAAATTTTAGGAAAATACTTTAACAAAATATGACGTAACTCACTGGTTGTCATCACTAACTCTTTCATCAACTCTTTCTGATCGTTCTCGTAGATAAATTCTTTATTCTTAAGTGCAAAGAGTCGGTCATTTTTGAAAATAACGACTCGTACCTCTAGCAGGAATGGAAAGCTAGAGTAATTCGGGTTGACATAGAGTTGTTCCATATTCACAGCAAAGTCTTCTATATCGACTGAAGTCAGACATACCTCGTAATACAAGTACCAATTGGTTTGTCCTGTGTTCAATTCAGAAGGTTTGTTACGCTTGTGGAATACTTCTATTGTTGTATCGTCTTTCCTTTTTAGTTGATAATGCAGAAATCCTTGTGTGTAAACGGGCGAGACAGTTTTAAAATCAATTGGTATTATTTTCCAGGTTGGTAATGACGTGCCTACGTCAACAAGATATATATCTCCAGGTTCGTCAAGTGATCGAATTATCAGCGCTAGATGAAAGTTACGTTGACCAAATGCGTTACATCCCACAAACCTAACGTCATAACCTATTGTCACTAGTAATTCTCTGACGAAGTAGTTCAGCGAATAGCAGCTACCACCCTGACATTTAAACATGGCATCTTCAATTTCTTTAAATAAGGGTAAACGACGATTACCTGGACTTACATTTATAGCATGCACGGTTTGGATGGTTCGATGTGCATAAATGTATGTAATATGTTGCAAACAAGTTGTCTTTTATCCTGTTTGAATTTTTCGAAACAATTTAAAATTCCCAAAATATTAGTTACAAAATCATGGCATTCTGGTTTAGACAACATCGTCTCCCAAGTTATCAATAGCTTATGAAAATTTCACAGGTTTTCTATGATCGGCTATGGTATCTAAAATACAAATAAAGAAACGTTGTCCAAAATTAAAAATTTAGTAGTACAACAGGTAACATAATATAGACTTAATTACAGATATTGTCGTCATTATATTCATATCCAAGGTAAGTTAGCCTGGCAAATATTAGAGGCATAATTGACATTGACCAACATCAATGAAAGTTGTAAAAATTGTAAAATTATCAGGCTGTCTCTTATACACATCTAGATGTGTATAAGAGACAGATTTATAGCATGCACGGTTTGGAATGGTTCGATGTGCATAAATGTATGTAATATGTTGCAAACAAGTTGTCTTTTATCCTGTTTGAATTTTTCGAAACAATTTAAAATTCCCAAAATATTAGTTACAAAATCATGGCATTCTGGTTTAGACAACATCGTCTCCCAAGTTATCAATAGCTTATGAAAATTTCACAGGTTTTCTATGATCGGCTGTGGTATCTAAAATACAAATAAAGAAACGTTGTCCAAAATTAAAAAATCAGTAGTACAACAGGTAACATAATATAGACTTAATTACAAATATTGTCGTCATTATATTCATGTCCAAGGTAAGTTAGCCTGGCATATATTAGAGGCATAATTGACATTGACCAACATCATTGAAAGTTGTAAAAATTGTAAAATAATGAATAGACTACTCCTCCTTGGTATTCAAATTATAGGTCGTAATCCAAAATGGGGTCACCAAAATATCTTATAGGGTCGCCGGACATTATAATGCTTTCGATTTGTGCGACGACGCAACGTTAGAACGGAATCACTCATGCGTGACCGTCCTACCTGGCGGGCTACGTTCTCTGCATACGTAGATTTGGCCAAATTGCGTTCCAGAATCTACTCGACGAGGTGACAACGTTCTGGCATGCGCAGATGACTTTTAGTGACGTCATTACGTTCTACGTCCTACCGTCGTCGTGCAATCGAAAGCTCCCTATTATGTATTATATACCTCATACATAGATTCTGGCATCTGATTGGTTAAGAAGCGGGGCAATAGAAAGTACTATTCTCTCAAAATGTACTATTCCTCTCAAAAATAGTACTTTTTTTACCCTTCGCGATGTGCAAAATCTAGGCCCACAACATCGCGCTGCTTGACGGTTTGGGGACTGTGACCTCTACGACAAGATTATCCCCTGACTGCGTCGCGGATCGCGATTTTTTTTTTCCGTACGAAACATTTGCATGAAACTCCACTCGGGCTGTCTCGGATTGACTCGACTCGAGTTCGATACGAACAAGAGCAGGCACTTCGCAATGTCATGAAAATCGAGTATTCTATTACCATACTGTGCTGTTCTTTATATATGTATATGTTTACCTACGGTAGGCCTATGAAATCTTATGGGATGTAGGCCTAGGCTTCGTCTGTAACTAGTGAGCTTCTTGTATGTCTGTTATCAAATGTAATATTACCTACAACAACAACAGCTATTACCCCCTTCTATAGTGTATAGTGCCAGTAGTAAATAGGTACATTCCTATCTTTGAGGCTGAGCAAAAGAGGCTAAACTATTGGGCCTAGTTACAAGCTAAGTTAGGTCCTACCTGCTATCCATCTTCCCCAAGACTCGGCCCCCTAGGTTCCTAGGCCTGACACAACAGTAACGCTTCGCATGCCATTGACTGAAATTTTAAAAACATATAAACATGAAATAAAAATTGGACAGTAAGTAAAAAATTAAATAATAATAAATTAAATATATCATTCCGACATTAATAAACTTGGCCTAACTAACCTTGTAATGTAATTAATATTAAATAATAATAATAATAATAATAATAATAATAATAATAATAATAACAATAATAATAATATTAATAATAATAATAACAATAATAATATTAATAACAATAATAATAATAATAAATAATAATAATAATAATAATAATAATAATAATAATAATTAAATAACCATATATAATTTCGCCATTTATTAACTTAGCCTAAGCCTTGTAATCAAGAAGTACCTACAGTACAATACAATATTAGGCCTATAATTAACAACTAGGCCGCATTCATTCATTGGTACGCTGCTATTTTGGCAGGTCCTATGATGGCATCCATTTTAGAGCTGTCTCTCAGTTTTCTTTTAATTTCAAAATAACTGTCACTCTGTTTCATATTTGATCAAAAAATGCTGTTTTTTCCTTCCCCTTTGCGCTTTCCCCTGAAAGCCGCCTTCTAAAAACTGTTTTGATTAAGCGATCACATTCTCTTAGTACGGTACATGAACAAAAATCCTAACTATCATGATACCGTAATAACGATATACTTGGGGCCGAGTTGACTCGAATTCGTCAAAGGTACTTAAATAATTATCCAAAACCGCGGCCAACTAAAAAACAAAAATGTTCACAGTATGTAACTCAAATTCAAATACTGTAACAGTTTTTATTATTCGTGCAGCGAAATCAATTACATATGTCGTTTTAAACAACCCATTCTATTAGCATGGTAACATCAATATGTTATTTTTTTCTTCAAAATCAGACAACGGCCAGCAATCCTTATCTCAGAGGTTTTGTAGACGTTTAGCTTATCTTTAGTTGATGACCATTTGACCTCCAGAATTGAGATTTTCGAGTCGAGTCAATCGAGACAGCCCGAGTGGAGTTTCATGCAAATGTTTCGTACGGAAAAAAAATCGCTCACGGATCAGCGAGTAGACGATAAACAAATATGGAGGCATGCTCGTTCGAGATCAAGGAGGACTAGCCTAGGCCTAGCATTACTTCTTGATAAAGCCGATAACAAAAGCACCAAAAGACAAATTAAATATGTCTTATCAATTGATATTCGACAAATATATTGCAAGAAGATGGGTTGATAATAATTGTTATTGTCGTGATGGAATAGACAATAACTGGATTTTGCGTCAGAGAGACATGTAAAGGCGTTGTAAACGAACTTGCTTAAGATAATACTACATTAACGTTGGCGGCGCTACACATTACCTTCGTTTAGAGTTCAACTCTACCATCAGCGTGGCCACTGCTTGGGTATTTACCCAAGATCTTGGGTATTTTGACTTGGTCTTGGGTTCTTGGGTATTCCGTTCAAATCCTTGGGTATTTTATTTTTACTAAGAAAATTAAATATTTTTGTCATAGAGGAAAAATTAAGAAGTAACAAAATATATTTCAGTCCATTCAAGTAAGCAAAACTCAACGAAGTGCATATATCATTCTTAATTGACTGTTAATTGCTATAAACATGGGTTCAGATTGTTTATTTGTGATTTTCGTTGCCATTGATCTTACCTAATTAATGCATTACATAATATAACTTGATCAATGGTCTACACTGATAACACTGGCCGACTGAGGGCGTATTTTCTATCCATATTATCACCTCATGAATATTAATTTTAAGAATTAACACAAACAATTACAATAAAAAATTGCTTATAAATTGAACTAAAAGGGAAACAATACATGCGAAAAACACGCATTTTTCAAATTTTAATGCATTTTCGGGAAGCTTGGGTAATTTGGGCAATTTTTGCTGAATCTTGGTAATTTCGACCCATTGGGTATTACAAAAATTGTGAGTGGTCACGTTGTCTACCATTGTTAAGCGCGCCAGTAGCAGTATGAAGTTCGAAGAGAAGGTATCCTTCGTCGCTGCTGCTCACGTTGGTAGAAAGTTGCGTATTTCGTATGTTTTTGTGTATTTGTTATTTCTGTTAGTTTAATAAGTAATCTTTCAAGATCATTTATTGATGAGCTTTAGAATCTTTAATGATAATTCAAGATAATTATCTAAAAGTTTGAAAGTTGACCAGGTTCAGTGGAATACACGTTGTATATTCTCAAGTTTCTAATATTCTCAAGTTTCTTACGAGGTCAAATGATGTAGGAAGGTCATAACAATTAGGTGATATGTCAAAACAGTATGGCTGCGCCCATATAATCCCCACTATTCACTGTGTTTTTTATGATTAATTTGACGATTATAATCTTTGATGTGTAAACTCAGTAGTAAAGGTAATCATTGTAGTATATAGTAAAGTAATTAATTTATGTATTCTGATACTTGCTTTACAGTCAGCTTATATGAACGAGAATATGAGACCTTTGAATTGAAGGGTTGTTGATCACGAGTTTGTTGCGCCATAATTCATGTAAGGTTTGAACGTTTTCTACGAACTCATGTACTGTGTTTCTAAATTTAGCATTTACGGATGACGATTTAGTATGTACTGTTACTTGTGTCTCACCATCCATTAAATTATAGCTTAACCTTTAGATTGATTCATCATCGTTGATTAGGATTGTTTGATATTGAAACTGTTATCAGTCAACAATATTGATGCCGTTATTATTATTGTTGTTATTCATGGTTAAGCGAATCATTGTTATTGATTGTTATATTTGTATTTCTTTAGTCACCAGACTAAACAGAGTTTGCAGATTAATAAAAGTAATACTGACTTCATTGACGTATATTTAGTTTGCGTTTGTTTGCACTGGCGCCCTCATCGTTGACCAAACTCACAACAGTCAACCTTACACATTACACGACAAACAATTGCGAAAAAAAGGCTAGTGATCTGGAAATCGTGGGTTCGAGACCCACCCGAGAACAACGTGCGATTTTTTTCGCAATTGTTTTCAAACCTACTGAGTATTCAGTACATTTCTACGTCAGGTAGGGCAAAATTACACCAATACCTGTTTCTCCTGACGCAAATCCAGTTATTGTCTATTCCATGACGACAATGACAATATCAACACTGCAGTACCCGCTGTTTTCTTGGACTCGAATTTAACCCTGGCCACCAGGCGCAAGCTTGGTGGTCTAGAAGTATGGTGCTAGGCTAGTGATATGGAGATCGTGGGTTCGAGTCCCACCCGAGAACAACTTGCGATTTTTTTCGCAATTGTTTTCAAACGTACTGAGTATTCAGTAAATTTCTACGTCAGGTATGGCAAAATTACACTTATACAAGAAGATGGTGCTGTTAAAATTGAGGAAATATGCAAACAAGAGCTAGACACACTCTTTGATCGCCTAGGTCTAGGCCTAGCTAGTCGAGTAGTAGTAGTAGTAGTAGTAGGCCTACTAGTCTCTAATAATATAACAGGCTAGGAAGTAAGTACTTTTTGAGGCCTTGTAGAATCTATGTATGAGGTATATAAAACAAATATTGACTGCTCTATATTCGGGGAACAATGGAATCTATTTCCCCTCGGTGATGCATGGAGACCTATCTTCCCTCGGGAAGATAGGCTATACGGTCTCCACATCACCTTGGGGCAATTAATTTCACCATTCCCCTCATAATCAGTCAATATTTGTATACTGTACAATAGAATTTTAATACTCTGACCTTGGTGACGTTAATAAAATTTACAAGAAAGACAAGGACCAAAGCACTTTAATTTAACTGTTCCCTGGTATATATTTATTGTGTGTTTAGTGGGTAATAGCTCTTGATGGCTGATGAAGCAATGAAATTGAAGTGATTTGAAGAAATCAGTTGAAAATATTAATACATTTTAAAAAGTCGACTTTTACGAGTTAGGCTCAGCTCTATAACTGGTCACAATATTGCATACTTTAATAAGATCCTTATGCTTTGTCTGAGGACATATGTCCTTCAACAATCCCGTTTTTAATCGAAATATTTATATAGAAAACATTAACATAAAAAAATAGTTGAAACGAACGGTGGATCGGTAAGTTAGCCATTCCGAAATATAGGTTCGCCATATAAAGGCCAACTCAGACCGCGTCGTACGACGCAGCCCGACGCGATTTGTTGTCGCGTCGGGCCTGTGTGAGTTAAACGCAGACGCGATGGTGTGCGTCAGTGGCAGTCGCGTCGTAGAATATTAAACATGTTTAATATTTCTCACGACGGGATAAGACTGTCCCCGACGATAAATCGGGTCGGACTGCGTCGGCCGACGCTGTCTGATTTGGCCTTAAGAAAATTTGAATACCAGGAGACTACTGCTCAGAATTATGAAGTGTATACAAATATTAGAATTTGTTGATAGAATATTTTAGATTGGATTGGATTGGATTTATTCGGTGTAAAAATACCAAGGATAGCACACGAAAGTCTAGAAGAAGACTTATTTCCAGTGGGGTCCTTCTGGTAATGATTGGGCAGTTCACCGGGAGACAATCCCCCTACTCTAATCCCAAGAGTGTTCTGCGTTCTTTAACGTGCACATGGGCCATAAATGCACACGGGCCATAAATGCACACGGGAACGTATCATCCTTGTGCGCTAATGTAACTTGTATTTCAGCCCTCCAGCTGAAATACAAGGAGAGGCAGCGAAATATATAAAACAAAGGCATGAACAAGCTATAGTCAACAAAAGCTAAAAATAATATTCATATCTATGCATATAAATAGTTTTAGAGTGACGTAGGCATACAGGCTATTGTTACAAAACCAGGCTCCAAACGGATCAAAAATATCGCCTACTGAATTAAAAAATAAGCACTACCAGACAAAATTGCCAGTTTCCAACACAAATTTTAGAAAATTAAAAACTGCCAGATAATGGAATTAGGTTTGCTAGTAAGTTTTACAAATCACATGAAACAAGTGAATATGTCGGAAAAACCATAGTTACGTACGTTTTAGAGAATTCCTACAAATATTTTGCTGGTCGGACCTGTTTCACTCATAGCCTGTGTCCATGCGCAACTCGCCTTTTTCATTTACCGGTAAAACCCAGCGAGTCGCCTGTGGCCCTACAACCAACCCTCGTATTGTTCATGCTTTGTAGATTTTAGCGGGTAGTTAGAAGGTCGCTCACTAATGATGTTGTGAAATCGCTGGGGTCAGCTTGCATTATGGGATGTGATGTGATGTCATATCATATCATGACCTTTGCTTCCGACAATAGCAACCACAACCGCGCGAAAACAAAGCACTGCTACCGTTCCTGAATATTGACTGATATGTCCATTGAAACGTAGGCCCTACTCATATTTTACCCGTTTTTAGTTGTTCTGCGCAAGGGAAAGATGTTCCCAGATCCTGATCCTGGGGTATGGATTGTAATGTTGCTTTTGTTGTTAACAGTGGCGGCTCTAGGAAATAATTTATGGGGGGGGGGGGGGCTAAGATGTCCGACTGGGGCCCCTAAGTATTTATGGGTGTAAGAATAGCGCGCAGCGTTATCTGAAGGCTAAGGCCCGAGCCAGGGGTGGGTATGCGAAGGGGTGTCCCCTCCCCCAAACCGAGATTTTTTTTTTTTAAATTGGGACTTCGAAATGGCCGGAAATGGCTGGGATGGGAAAACTAGGCCTATTTTTTTTTGGGTCCAAGTGCCCGACGAGCTTTGGCCGATGTTGGGGGGGGGGGGCTTGACCCCTGGCTGTTGAGAGAAGCTTCGGGGTGTTGAAAGGGAGGTGAAGGTTGTTGATGAAGCGCAACGACAGTGCTTTGAGAAATGTTCCCCATATGGTACTTTCATATGTTGCATACTCCACAACATCTGCATTGAAGAAGGGGAGGTCTACAACACAGAGTGGGATAAGGTGGTAGAAAACGATGCACTGCAACAGCCACAACCTCAAGAACCAAGATCCCAGGCAAATCCAACCGGGAATGAGACCCGTTATGCACTAGTGATCAGTGATCTGTACACATTCCTACTCGCCTTGTAGTGGTGTTCTCCAAACGCTACATTCGCCTCTATGTTTGCTAATTCCTCGCGGGAACATTTGCACCTTGATCAGACAATAGACACACTATTATATGAATGTTAGGCCTACTCGTTCTTTGTACAATGTACAGTATTAAAAAACGTATTTGTAAATAGTTTTGCTTTCTAGTTCTTTGCTTTAACCAGTGTTATATTGTGAATTATACCAGCACTCTTTCAATTTACAGTTTTTTTGAGAGTAAGTTTTTTTAAAGTGACTTCTTTTCACGCTGAAATATAATGAACATGAAAAACTATATTTATATTATACATCAATGTTTATTCCAGATATATACATGTTAAAAATGAAATTATATTAACATACAATACAGCATACGACACAGCATAAAAAACTACACTACCTACCACAGCTAAGCATACGATAAATTAAAGGTAAAATAGGAAAATTACAACATTTCCATGTCTATTAACCAAAAAAAAACAACAATAAATGACATTAATAGCAAAATAAAGTGGCACATTTAAAATTAAATTATTAATAAAAACAGTTGTGTGATGAACCTAAGCAACAACGAAATGAAACCATATGAACATACAATACAACATACAACACAGCATATAAAAATAACTACCTACCATAGCTAAATGTACGATATATTTAAAGAATATAAAAATAAAAATATTTTCATGTCTGTTGACAAAAAAAAAAAAATTTTTTTAAAAAAAAAAAAAAAAAAAAAAAAAAAAAAAACCAATAACAAATATGATATTAATGGCAAAATAAATAAGGTGGCACACTTAACATTAAATAATTGTGATGAACCTAAGCAATTGTGATGAACCTAAGCAAGAACGAAAACTAACGATTACGCACTTAAAAAACGCATATCAATACATGCACCACAGTTGAAACCATGGCTGATGTATGCCCTTTTTCCTGTTGTCCTGTGGGGTATTATGTTGGCGTTGTGTGCAGGGCTGAGGTGATGGCGAGATAGTGGGATGCACGTTGAATTTATTTTGAGATGATGATGGGTGAGTTGTAGCTAGTGTTCTGTTGACAGACAGTGGTGATGACGTAGTCGGTAGAATGATATTATTTTGTTGGCGTAGTGTGCCTTGCTGGGATGACGGTTTTTTAGTGTGATGCGTGTTGAATTTCGGAAGATGATGATGGGCGAGTTGAACCTGGTGTTCTGTTGAAAGTCAGTGTTGATGACAAAGGCGATGGAATCGTGGTAGTCGAGGGAAAACAGTAGGCCTACAGTGGTGCTGAAAAGACGAAGACGGTTGTCTGCTACCAGATGATGATGATGGTCGAGGTAGCATTGTGTAAGTACTGAGGTGTTGATTCTGGACTGTACTGTAGATGCTGGTGGGTTTTCGGGCCTAAACATGTTCGAGATCACTTGCAAAAATTGCAACTCATGAGCCTTTTGCCTTTTTGAGCCTTCGCGTTCTGCCTCCCACCTGAAAACTTCCTCCTGCATTTTCTGCTGCTGCTCCTGGTGTTCGCGGCTAAATTCTCTTAACTCCTTTTCCCATCCAACAAACGTCTCATCAAGTTTTGTTGTCTTCCTTCCTGTACAGAAAAATGAAAAGCAAACAAGATTTTAATAATGCACGAGTGTTATACTTTCTGTTGGATGTGACAAAAGCAAAGATAAATAGAAAAACTTTAGTAAACAGTTGCTTCACTAAATATAGTTTTCTCCAAAATCGTACAGAACGAATGCTGTACTACACTGCACAAACATTATGTATACCATATTACTGTATTTCATAAATTGTCTAAACTAAACTCATAACTCATGCAATGATATTTTGTTTATTACAAAATTAAAATACAATATTTAGAATTCGGAATGAAAGCAAAATTCAACAAAACAGTGAATATAGGTGGTACTGTAAACGAATAGATGAATTCTATCTAAACGCTATAAACGCATTATGTTTTTTTGTGGAATGTACACAAGTTGAGTTTCGACTTACTTTTCGCAGATGTGGGTCTATCCTCATTGTTACTCTTCTTCACCTTGTCATTTTTCTCTCGGTTTATAAAATACTCATTCGGTGACCATCGTTAGATTTTTGCTAATTAAAGCTTGATTTCCGCTCCTTTGCATATTTCCCTGCGATATACAACATTTTTAACACTTTAAATTTATTATTTGTCGTATTAAACAACAAAAAATAAAAATAAAGCAACATTTTTTTCTTATGAAATTTCCATTTTTCGTGGCGGTGAGTGTGCTAGTTGGCCAAATATACGGTAAATTTGTTTTGTTCGAATCATCATTTTAGACAAGGTACAAAAAAGTCTGCCATATCTACGACCATACTACATCTGAAGATCGAGAATATAGAAGTTGTTAATAGTTTAAATGATTTTTTTGTTCTAGAGTGGATTTTTAATATGCCATTAATAATAGAATCAACCTTAAAATCGATCTTTGCGTGTATGCTGTAACCTTGGCTGTAAATTGTGATTGTTACAGCATGCACGCAAAGATCGTACGCGGCGGATACCCTACGCGGTGGATACCCTACGTGGCGCTATTTACACGATCTTTTGTTACTTTTTCGCCAGTGACGTCATGGTAAAATCGTATATAATCGCCTATAACTTCATAAAAAATAGCCAAAAAAAAAATTTAAGGTTGATTCTATTATTAATGGCATATAAAAAAATCCTCTCTAGAACAAAAAATCATTTTGCTAGTTCTCTTTTAAGGATGAAAAGTCTTTCTTTATAATGGAGAATCTATGCCTGTCTCTTATACACATCTAGATGTGTATAAGAGACAGGTTTTATCAAACAATCATTCAATCAATCGTTTCAGGGTGGGTCCAAATGACGTCACTGTAGGCCTACTCCAAAACAAGCTATTTTTTAAATGTCTGTTGTCTCCACCATTTCTAAACAAAATTCTTTCTCTATAACTCTCCCTCTCCCACCAAGGATAAACCACAAAAGTCGGAAGAATACTTGTTTCCAGTGAGGTCCTTCTGTTGGTGATTGGGCACTACACCGGCAGTGGCCTAACGATGGCCCTGGGGCCCTGTGGCTTTCTGAGACTGGGGGCCCCATTTTTGATCCGGTCACCACTTTGATTGTGGGAATTTAAATGTGCTTGTTTTTCTAATATGTGGCATTGTATTCTAGATTGCCTTTAACAACGAAATAAATTATATGATATCAGTAGAGTGAATGTGGGTAGGGAGGGACTTTCACACACCTATGCCACTTCAGCCCCAGCATGGTTGGGGCTAAAGTAAGATCATTTTTATACGGCACCTCGAAGTGGCCGGAAATGGCACTCATAGATTTAAAATGCGAGTATAATTTCCATTTTTAAAACAATTGGAAAATTTAAGGGGGCCCTGGCCGACAAGGTCCCCATTAAACCTTCACGGGATATACTATGATATATGTCTTACAGTCGATCTCAGAGACACATTATGCTGTTTTGTATCAACACAGCCCTTTTGGGTAAGGGTGCCCGAGCGAGGACCCTATGGGTTGGGGCACCTTCGGGGCCCTAAGTAACAGGGGCCCTGTGGACCGCCGCACAAGAGCGCATAGTCGTTACACCACTGTACATCGGGAAACAATTTCCTACTCATTTCCAATTAGTATATGTGCACACAGGCCGTAATGCACACGGGACCAACAGGTTAAATGTCTCATCCGAAAGACGGTGCGCTACCGTAACTTGCATTTCAGCCTTCCAGCTGAAATACAAGAAAGAGCAGTGATGGGAATTCAATACACCACCTTCTTCCTAAAGCCCCTTCCAATTACCATCTTAGAAAACTTAAAGAATTTATCCTCCAAAAGGCTGGAAAGGACTCCCTGTACAGGCGAATGCTTTGTTCATTTTTAAGTCAGTAATTAAAATAACTATAATAATCTCACTACAATAATTATAATTACAATAATAATAATAATAATAATAATAATAATAATAATAATAATTTTAATATTGGTCGCCTTTTTGCCCTTTAAACCTGTTCTTTTGCTGTTATTGTGATGTGGGTCTATTTGTTAAATAGATGCATAGGGGATAATTACAATAGGCATCTAATAGTTAATTAATTTATCA